CGGGGTCTACTGTATTTATCTCTCAATCCTATGAAACATTAAGAATTTCATAAGATTGATAATAATAATAATAATAATAATAATAATAATAATAATAATAATCGTTTCATGAGTTTTTATTAAATTTTTAAGCACATTTTATTGCCATAAAATTATACAATTATTATACAATAAAACTTTTAATATTGCTTTATACATTATTTCGTTTTATATGTTTTATATGAAAAATATATCGGATTTATTCTGTTCGTAAAAGGATTCATAAATACCATATTAATATATAAAACATCGCTTAGATGACAAGAATTTATAATATTTTTTTACAGAAAAATTCTTTCGAGTATTCAAAAAATTTCCTGTAACATCTTCGAGTATTTGAGTTATATATATATTTTTTTTTTTAAATAATTTTTTAAGATTCCCGTGTCATATCATTCGAATTAGTACGCGGGCAGCTTAAATGGCGCCCATCGAGTCCTAATCTACATTTCGATAATCGAGCGGCGAATGTCACGAAATACGCGCCACTTACTTAAAAGAATGTCATTAACCCGCGCCACCGTCTAAGGCTGTGTACACATTAGGCGTTTTGAAACGCGCGTTTTAAAGAACCAAGAGTTCCGCATAGATATACACACTCAAACGCGCGCTTGGCCAGAAGCGCGCGTTGATAGATTTTGGTTAGAACGCGCGTTTCGCGGGCGTCAGCCGCGCGCTTTGAGATACACGCGCTGCCACGTTGTTGTACATTCGATCGCGCGCTTTCGGGTAGAGTGGACGCGCGTTGGCCGAAATGGAGAACGATCGTTTCGATACCGATCTGTTTTTTGATGAAATCTAAAAGAGACCAGCCGTCGTCAAATGATTTTATAGATATTCTAAAAAAATTAAAAAACTTGGGTTCACACTGTCTTAGTTTTGGATACAACGTCAGAAGCATTCCACGCGTCAGTCTATCTCGTAATATCGGGTGCACCAAAAATTCTCTTTGCCTCCGCCGTCGTCTTTTATAGCGACGATGGAGGAGTCGCACGCGAGCAATTACTTTCGCGTCCATTTCCAAACTGAGTCGGCACGAACGGTCGTCGAACGCCGAGCTAACGCGCGGTGTGCACGCTGCTAACGCGCGTTTAACGCAACGCCCAACGCCTAATGCGTACTAGCCCTAAAACGTTTCCACAAAATGCGCGTTGTCGGCGTCCAGACCCTCGGACTTCACCGTTTACGTTTTTTTCGCAACGGGGACAAAGTTGTCAGTCTATTCGCGCGGTGAAAAACAACAAACGGCGCAAAGAAGCGTGACAGCGGTGGAATCTCCATCGCTTCGTGCTAGCTGCGCGCGTGAGAGGTTCTGGTACGTTCGTACCTGGCTGGTTTAACTCGTTGAAATCGCCTTAATGTTTTAAAAACGAGAACAGTTATAAAATAAAAATAATTACCGGCGATTATTATTGTTCTTTGGATGATGAGGCTAAAGTTCGATACAAAGAAAAGCTTAAGCGATTTGACGCGGAGTGGCCCCATCTCTTAGACGTCGAACTACGCGATCCCTTTAGCGGCGTAACCACAGAATGGTCCGAAATCACTCCTCTCGGCCATATCGTCTAAAGAGCAATTATAATCACTGATAATTATTTATTCTTTATTTTATAACTGTTTTTGTTTTTAAAATATTAAGACGATTTCAACGCGTTAAACGAGCCAGGTACTGTACGAACGTACCAGAACCTTGCACGCGCGCAGCTAGCCTGGAGTAACCGAAATTTCACCGCTGCCGCGACGCTTCGCGCTTTGTTTGTTGTTTTACGCAGTTGAATGTATATACCTATAGCCTAAACGAAAAGACGCTTGGTAATTAATTAACACAATACGTATTTATGATATGTGTATTTATGCGCGACAGATATTTTCTGTTAATAGTTATAAACTTTTCAAATACCACGTCCTCGCCGGGAAGAAGAAATGCGTACGAATTTTGTGACGGATTAGGACAAAGGGTGGAAAATGCTAGTAGAACGACGACATTCCGAAGATTCTCAAAAATTGTTTTTCCACTCGAAATAATCTTTTTTCACTAAAATCATTAGGCGGGTTGTGGCGGACGATCGGGCGGCGAGTTACGGCTTATTTAAATATAGTATGCGCGCTTTAGTAGAGGCGCCGTACTAAATACGCTGTAATAAAACTTTTAACACCGAATGATAATGACGAGAATTTAACCTTTACGGACGCAAATTACGGGCAAACATACCGCCGAAAGACATAACTTTAGTCGGGAGTTAATTAAGTTACCACTCTTCTACGGTAGATCGGTGAATTTCGTGTCCGCTTTTTTTATTGGCCCATCTTTAAACTTAGCCCGGGGTTAGCGGGAAATACGAATAAATTAACGTACCGTAGACGCTTTACCGAAACGCCGATCCACGGTGTGTAAAAATTGGAGAAGAAAGGTGACGGGAGAGAGTTAGGTCTTAAGTCCTTGGAAAAGGACTTAAAATCGGCGACCCGGTATTTGAACGACACCTTTCCGACGGATGTTTTACCTAGTCGGGGAAAATTATTTTGTTAAGGCGTTCTTTATTACTTACTTGAGTAAAGTGTCTCCAGAGATCGTTTTCTTCCACGCTGTCGAAAGACTTCTCCTTCAAATAACTCTAAAAATACACGTCGAAGCAATTATCGAGCAGGAAACTTTGGGCTTGGGTTTTGCGAGCGGGCTCTTACCGACAAACCTCTCCAAAAGGTTTCGTTTCCCAGGACGTGATGGACCATTCTGGCGATCATGCCACCCTTCAAAGACACGCCATTTTTATTCCAAGGCCGATCCCAACTTAAGAAATATTTTTCTTACCTTTTTGTAAGTGAAAGAGTTAAAGAGTCGAAAGAGTTTCGGCGTCCGATCGACCTTTTGAGAAACCGCGATGGAATGATCGGAGCAATCGTAAGCCACGATGTTTTCCACGCTTCGAACCAATCCGTCCACCTGAAAAGTTTGCTAGCGACGTCCGGAAAACGTGTTTCTTAAAGAAACGGCGGTGTTTCTAAGAAGCGCTACTTACCATATTCCACCCGGGTAGAACGGCGTCGACGGCGATACTCTCCAAGTAGGTGGCCAGACCTTCGCTTAACCAAATGTCTTGCCACCATTTGGGTGTCACTAGATTTCCGAACCACTAAAAAATTTCTCGACCAATAAAAATGCCAAACTCCTACTTAAAGACAAAGGAAACTTTCTTACTTGGTGACTAATTTCGTGAGCGATAATCCGAGAAGTAAACTGCTTTTCGGAATCGGTGTTAATCTCGGGATCGTAAAGAAGATTGGCGTCGTGATAAACGATCAGGCCCCAATTCTCCATGGCGCTGCTTTTGTGTTCCGGCACGGAAATCATATCTGGTAATAAAATATACACGGTATACGTATGCCTGGGTTATTGTGGCAGGAAGGAGGAGATCCTCGGCTACCTAATTTAGGAAGAGAGTAAGGCACTTGCAGAATATTTTCGAAGAATTTAATAAATTTCGGCGTCAACTCGAAAGCAAACTGCGTCCTATTTAGATTGTTTCTGGTGGTCCAGATGGCAAACTGAAAATACAGAAAGTCGCTCAGAAATTTCGTACAACGGCAAACCGCCGAGCGGAAATGCTTACTTTATCGTCCCCGTTTCTGTAAAAATTTCCCACGAATATGGCCACCAAATAAGTCGACATTTTTACCGACGTTTGATAAACGTCGGCCACCCAATCTTCGTCTCTGCATTCAAAAAATTGCCGAGTCAAAAAATAAAACGGGAGCAGAAGTGTATTATAAAAAAGAGGAGATAAGCCAGCCGATTCCCACGACATATTAGAGAAACACCAGCTCAAAGTATCTAGTTACGCCGGAACATGTGGTGTCGCTCGACATTTCTTCTCCATTAGCCACTCCTTTTTTCCCCGGATTCGATTTAATTGCCTAATTTTTAATTATTAAGTCGTTTACCTGTCTTCCGATTTAAGTTTCGGCATGTTGGACAGCGACGTCATGTTTCTCCACCTGACGATGGTTACGTCGAAAGTAGCTTTCAGGGCAGGTTCGTCGAAACAAGGAAAACATCTTCGCGCGTCTACGGGTTCGAAATGAGTAACCGCTAAACTAGAACGAATAATACGTGTCGAATTACACATACGACTAAAGTCGGGCGTAATTATTCTATAAAGCTTGCCAGTTAAGGTAAATATTTGCCACTACGGCCAGTTCGGATGCCAGAAAAAATACAAATAATTACCACACGCGTTAAACAGTTCTTTCGGTAAAAGAAAGTGCGTAGGTTACTTACTACTCGGTGGCACCGTCTTCCTGGTAAGACGACCAGTAGAATCCGACTTTGGAATCGTTGAGGACACCCGAGAAACGAAAGAAAATTCTGTAGACGTTACCCACTCGAAGACTTCGATCCAGGTGAAGAATCAGGAACTGATTTTCCTCGTCTTCCTCCATCCATTCCACCGTCAGCGTGGAATTATCGTTCGAGTCCGTCACTCGAGTTTCGTCAACGGTCAAGTTGTTAGAATGGACGGTTACGTTTTTAGTGGGAAGCGCGCAGGTTACGGTGACCAGCGCGCTGCCCCGGAAAGTCAAATTGTGCGGAGCCAAGTACGGACGTATTTCCAGCACGTAGTTTTCGGGCACCAGAGTGGGGGGCAAACGGAAACCTCTGGGCGCTTTGGCCGACAAAAAGGGGAAGACCACGAAACCGAAAACCGCGGCGGCCACCAGCGCCACCAGAGCCAGCAGAGAAACGACCAGAAGGGTCACCCAGTGCCTCCTGGCGAAATTGGAAGGGCGGCAACACGCTCTTTTCTCCTCGGCTCCCTCTCCGTCGTCCGAACACCCGTCCATGTTTACCGCTCGAATCTCCTCTCCATCGGCGCACCGACCGAACCCGAAAAAACATTTCGGCCGCTCTTCCCATTGGCTGCGGCCGGTGACGTGGCCGACGCGTCGGATGGGGACGGAGAGACCTTGACTGCGTTAAGTGGCTTTCGTCCGTCCGGATTAGTTCTTTCCGTTGTGTCGCCCTTTCGACATCCACCTTCCGTTTTGCTGCGGTTACCGATCGTGTTTACGTTTCTGACGTCTGGAAAATATTTTGCCGTCACCAGGCAAAATATTTATTTTACATCCCGCTTTCTCCGTAATTTCCGTAAACAATATTAGAACGCCACTTACCTGCGCGCCCGGACCCACTCGGTTTATACGTGAAGTTTGAAATTTTTTAAATGGGGAAGGTAAGAAATAAATGACGGTCGATGGGAGGGAGAGGCCGGAAAGCGCCTCGGAAATAATCTAGACTCGATTTACGCCACTTACCCGGTCACTCAGGACGTGGAGGAAAGTATTCGGAGATCGTTCCGTAAAAATACTTAACTAACGCGTTTATTTCGACGCCTTCACCCCTTACAAATCCCAGTCTTCGTCACTATTTCCCCCGCGGAACAAACCGGGCTTTGTCTGGTATTAATTCGCTTTATAAAGTTAAATATGCTTTAGGAATGGAAGATGGAAAATCCAAGAAAAAAATATTTATTCGACGGCACTTTTTAAAATTAAACGTGTTCGTTATTTATCTGGGATTTGAAATAGAATACGGAGAACCCCGTTAATTAATTGAGAAGTTTTTGGAGCGATCGCTTTGAAAAAAACTTCTTACTCGGAAATTGTAAGAAAGCAAATTATTTTTATCTGTATAATCGATTTTATTTCGATATAACACAGACAAATAATCTTTTTATTTCTTTCCTCCACACGGCCAGGCGCAGTCGGCTAGAGTACGGAGTGGCCTTTTGGCTCGTAAATGTTAAGATTCCGAAATTAAAATAGGAATGGCGGTTATAGTGTCACGTTCTTGTGGCAAACAAAACGAATTACGGATCCCGGATTACGAATCGTGTCGTGTGGCGATCCGCCTGGCAGAAGAAATTCGACAGTCGGGTGAACAGAAGGACAGTAGACGCAAAACAATCACCGGGCGCGTACTACCACATGGCGGCACGTAAAGTTAGTTTCCGAACGCGAGTCCTTTCAAATACCTCTCGATACGGTCCTTTAGCAACGGGTGGTCGTCTTCGTTCTCGGGAAAGAGACTCGGATGGCAGGTCCGATTCAGGTTCTTTGCTCGCAACTTAAGTTTTACGAGTTGTCTTACGTGGCCAAGCATCGGGCAGGCATAGACCGAGCTCTCAACCCCGTCTAGGTAATATAACCCCCGTCTGTGTATCGCGGTAGAACCGACTACGGCGTGTGACGCGTCGACAGTTAACGGACCGGATAGGAAGTACTGTACGTCTAAACGATAAGACCCCGGCTAATTTAGCCATCACCTGGGGTGTGCGAGTGTTCCGTATACAATATGGTAAATGTCTCGAGTTACTTTTCTAAATGAAAAAGTTACGGCGAGGATAGAGATTACGATTTTTCGACATACTCTTCTTGAATAGCTGGCAAGTAGCAAAAATTATAACTTAAAGTAGTAAAACCCGTAGAACTCGGCGAAACGGACATCCGCCAAGCGTAAACGAAAGTTTCGAAACGTCTCCGACCGTCGTTCCTTACACAATTGCGGCCCTTTACCAAAATAGAGGTCGGTTACCACCAGATAAGAAGCGGTCTACCCAGTTCAGTCCAGTTCCGAAACCTGGAAATTTTTCGGGATCGTTTCGGGGGAATACGGCCCACCGGCGACCGAGAGGACGAAGCCCTTTGCGGGCCCACTTTACCTCGGCAACACCTAAATAGCGGTAGGTTCCTCGTAAAACTCCTTCCGGAAGACATCCTCTGGACAGTCGACCGGGGGTCGGCCTGGCCCTAACCAAATAAACCTAAATCGAGGGCGATCCGTCCGGGATACGCCTGGCTCCGTTCCTAGTCCTAGCCCGACCCAACCCGCCGAGGACGCGTCTTTTCGACGTCCACGGGGGAAGGAAAGAGTTAAAATATAGACAACTCGCACGCCACGTATCGGAGTACCGGATGTTCGTATGGGCGTGTGTTTTGCCCGCCGCCATGTTTGTGACGTTTTCGTTCAGTTTTAACCTCACCCGATACGTGACGAAGTAACCAAACTAAATAGGAGAAAGCGTAAACTTTGAGTGGTCGGCCTAACGAAGAGATACGACGTAAGTAAATTTTAAAACAAAATAAAACAAATTAGACAATTATAAAAAAAATTGCCACGCAGCACTTAGAAGCGATGCTACGCAATGGCTAATAAAACTATTACAAAACGCAATTTTTAGTCAATACGACAATACAACGACCAGGAGTTATAGTTTGTTTTAATGTACAGGTAACCCTCGTATAACACGGCACTTCTATAGCACGGATTCACTCTAACACGGTTAGAGAATTGGGAACATCCCCGTATAACACGGTGCTTTTATAGCACGGGTTCAATCTAACACGGTTCGGAAATTGGGTAAAACCCTCGTATAACACGAAATGTAATAAAGGGTGCGTTCTTTTATATCGCGTAACTCCGCGCTAGCATTCTAATTTTTTTCGTGGCTACTTTAAATGCTCTTTCAACAAATAATGCATTTAATGGTTAAATTTTACAATCGGAACCCTTCTTTTGCCTCTAAAAGCTCATTTTAGAATTATAGATTCCTCCATCAAGATACTAGGGATAGTGCGGGCGCCGCCATCTTTCATTCACCGTCGTTCCTAAATGCCTACAAACAGCGGCGCACTCCCGTTGCGGAACGACCGCTATTAATGAACGAACCCAAAAACTGTTACCAGTTGATGATGCTCGTGCCGAGATCATCATACAGTATAGGATGAATAATCCTCTGGTAAAATATTTACTTAAATAATAAACATTTTACCTATGAAAAAAATGAATATAAATCCGATTTAAATAAGGATTTAACAGCGTGTTTTTTAATTTTTGGAACCTAACCCCCCTTTTCGCACTAGTTCTTTGTTTCGTATAACACAGATTCGCATAAAACGGCAATTTTCTGGGACGTAACTCCCGTGTTATACGGGGGTTACCTGTAGTTAAATTTCTCTCGCTAGGAAAGGTATGTTCTGAAAAACTTTTTATTTTTGATCAATCCAGGTACTCGCTACAAAATCGAGCTTTAAGTGATTTGTACGCTTTCGTGTAGCTAAGAGTTAAAAATTAGGTTATTAAGACAAGATGTCACCATATTCTATCTTCGGCCAAAAACTCCGATCCTCTAAGAACGAATTAGAGTCGTCTCAGTACGGATCGATTCCACTAGACATTAAAACTTTACTTCTGTCTTGACTAGTAAGAGTCGTTAAATAACCTACTAAAATATCCAGCAACGAGTTACGTAACTTTCCTGGCTGTTATGCCATCAAAATTAAAAAAATAACTTTTATATTATTAAACATATGGGGGCGCTGTTGAGTAACCTCGGCTGCTGGTGACTTTTTGTTGGAGATTTTGTTAACACTTTTTTTTATTG